ACCCTCCCAATCCCCCAAATGAGCTCATAGCTATTATTGAAGAAGATAGTGAGTTTATCTTGGAGCTTATGGAGGGAATTTTTGAATGGTTAAAGAAGATGAAGAAAGGAAAAACGTTTCTCTAATTCTCATGCTTGGACGAAGAAGGAAGAAGGAAGAAGGAAGAAGGAAGAAGGAAGAAGGAAGAAGGAAGAAGGAAGAAGGAAGAAGAGAAAGAGAAGAAAAAAACTTTTGGGAAAAGAGAAGGAAAAATGTGCTCTGCATGCCTTTCAAAAGCCATTTGAAATCAGCTAGAAATCCCCTCTAGATCATCATGTTTTCTTCAATGGGTAAATTACACTCTAGGTCAATCTCCTTTCATCTCAAGCTTAATAACTCTATTTTTATCTCTAATTAAGCCAATTTATCATCCAGTTTAACTCAAATTGAACCATGAAACCTTTACACCATTATAAATATAGTCAATTAAACCTCTAGTCAATGATGATTCGTTGACTCAAATTTGGGTTGTTACACATTTCGTTCGGGGATGTATTGATGCCTCTTATATATTTGTCTCTTATTGGATTTGTTGCCTCTTCTAAATTTGGTCAGTGGTTGGAGCTTATGATGCATACTCTCCAGATGGCTCGGTTTGTTGATTTATTGGCGATAATGTATTTCCAGCGGCACCACTGTAATCTCTACGTGCATGAAGGTCGAGTTACATAGCAACTACTGGTTGAGGCTCGTGATTTGCATACTACTCCTTATGGTGAAGTTTCTATAGCACCAACTCGTTGAAGGAAACCCCCTCCCTCTACTATTAAAATAAATGTAAATGGAGCCTGTCGATCTCAATTGTGTGGGGTTGCTATAGGCATTATGGCTCGAGATTCAAATGGAATGATTGTCGCTGGACGAGCTCTTCCATTAGACATTGTCGGCGATGCAAGTATTGTCGAGGCATATGTGATCACCGTTAGTATTCAGTTTGAGATTGAGATGTCATAATTGAGAGCGATGCTATTAATATTTTTCTCCAGCTTCATAGTCGCAACCTTTATCTCTCTATTGTTCGATTTCATCTTGTTGAAGCGCAATGTCTGCTTGATGCTCATGCCCATATCGATATTGTTCATGTCCGTCGCTTGGCCAATGTCGCTGCACAAATTCTTGCCAATTGGGTTTCCACGACACGATCTTCATTGTTCGATTATAGTTGCACGAAATGTATTTTAGATGCCGCTTTGGCTTAATCTATAATATGTCTATTCTAGAAAGGAAAAAAAACAAGTTCAAAGAAAATTTATACTTCGAGGAAACTATTTTTTAACCTACCAAATATAAAAATAAAAAATTACTATAACTTTCCATACTATCAAATTTTGTTTTAATCATGGATAGAGTTTGAAAAAGACATTTCTATGAAAGCGTAAAGTTGAGGCAGACCGTAATGATGGTTCCCCCAAAACATATAAATTTAAAAATATAAAGATAAGTAGACATTCATATATAAAATAATAAAATATTAAAATATTAATTATTAATTATTAAACAAAATTAATAAATATATATATTTGATAAGGAAATAAGAAATGGAAATACACTAGGTACGAGAGATCGTCTTATCTTGGATTACATCAACTATCACCATAAGAGGTGTATGGAATCAGATTCTCTGAAAGATTTGTCACCACTCATTTTAACTAAAGCATTAACGATACTATTTTAAACTCTACTAATCAATCTAAATTGAACTTCCCATCTTCATGGATGAGCCTATCAATCATATCCACAAGAGCATGATCTTATAAAGTGTTTGATATTTTATTAACTATTATTACTATTATTTCGACATTGTCAACCTCATACTTCAAAATTTCAGATATTCAATCTTTGATTATGGATCATAATTTTGTAGATTACCCATAGTTTCGCAAAAAAAAAAACCAACAGCTTCTAACACTTTTTATAAAGCCGAAAATCCAACTTTCATGAAGAAATAACACTTTTAAAAATTCAAACCAAGTCCTGATTTTAGGGTTAGTAAAGTTTGAAACGCCTCTTTTACGAAAGCGTGTAGGGCCATCCGACGCCAAAAACTGTTACTTGGATAATGGAGTCTTCGGCTTAATTGGTTTAGCACTTGAACGATTTGATTTCTGACTTCATTCCATTATTCGCATTTCCGGTCGTCATCGCTCGCGTCATTTCAATTTTTAAATTATTGTTAAATTGAATTATAAATTCAATTCATTCAGATTTAGAGGTATATTAAACATAATGGTTTTTAAAACAATATATCAAATTTATTTTCCTGAAAAATATATTTTTCCTACTTTTACTTTTTTTCAATATTTTTTTCATGTTTTAACTTATTTATAGCATACGGTAAACTAATTTTACTAATAATGTTTTTGTTAATTATTATTTTTATTATATTTTTATAGTTAATTTATATAGTTATTTTAATTTAACAAGAGAATCATCGTATCATCGATCCATTTATTCATTATGTGAGGATAGTTTTCCTCGATGTCATTATTGAGTATTTAGACTAAACTAATATTTTATATGTATCTCGATGATAATGAATTTTAAGCTAAACTTAATACTGTTTTCAACACTCATAGAGAGATGAAGATCAAAGATGCGCACTTTTCATCCTTCCGTGTAAAGAGTGTACAATCACTCTTGAAGATATTGCAATGTAGTTAGGTCTTCTTATTAATGGTCATATTTTGATCGATATGAGTGGTGGAAGATGGCATGACATATACTAAAACTTTCTTGAAAATGTTATTGCATATGCATGATGCTTCTATAGTCATGGGTGTAGTATCGAATGTCCTTTCTCCATTCACATAATGACGTCTCAATCTTAGTAAAAACGCTATTGCATGGATGCTTGATGCTTCTATAGTCATGTATGTGGTATCGATTGTCTTTTCTTCGTTCACACAATGACGTCTCAATCTCATTCCCTCTCATCTTTAGGTAATTTCATTCTTTTACGAGTAAATAGATTATTATTTAAATTATAATTTCAATCGTATTGTTATAATTTTTTCTCTATTCAACAAATATTTTATTGATTTGAGATATCAAGATATTCCAGATGAGCTTGAATATATACGATTAATAATCAAGCAAACAATAGGAGTAGATGTACATGTTTACGAAATTTATACAAATATCGTAATAACTACTAATTCTTATATTAGTTTGTGGATACTAATAATTTCTTTTGTAGTTTGAGTGGATGTCATACTGTAATTAAGAATGTATGACTTGTATCTTACTAATTTTTTAGATATATTGAGCGTATGACATGCGACTATGTCCATTGTTCATGCATTAATTGAGTGACATTTAGTTGATCGTGTGTTGCGTGAATTTAAGTACGTTCAATATGTTCTCGGACCAGCTATAGAACTGGAAAATGCACATTGTCAATAGACAAGGGAAATCAAACATGAATTGGACCCGAAAGCACGACAAATTATCAACGATTTAAGACTCACAAATACTCATGTACCTGATCAACAACTAATCAGAGACATGATATTGTTGTTTTTGAAGATTATATGTTGTGCTTTATGAGTTACGATAAGGGGTATCTATTGTTAGAGATGGACTGAGCCCGAGCAATTAGTCAATCCAAGGGAAAATCATTTACCGACGCAGTACCACTGCCCCTGATTAATCGAGGAAGAAAAAGAAGAAGAGAAAACCCTTCTGACTCGTCCTCATTAACACTATCCAAACCACTACAACTTACACAATCAATATCATCAGTCTCGTTCATGTAATATATTCTAGTCTCATCAAGTCCAATGCAAGGTTTTGTACAACTGTACTATCAAACTTGACAAATGTTGCATGCACGTCGATATTGAGTGGGATTGCTCCTTCACCGTAATAATTTCAATAATCAACTTCTTATTTATCAATGTCATTGCTCGAGTTTCGATTATTCCATTCAGCGATGAGATTATTAATCAGACGCCTACACAATCATTATTCTTTATATGTCATCATCCATCAACGTATGACTAGGACGCATCAATGAATCAACATACCTCACTAGTACATGATGATATTAAACAAACTGTCTTTGATGTTGATGATCCTGTTGAAAATCGTCTGATACAAAAAAACCGTCGTGTAATTAAAGTCGATCTTACTGTGAAATCGGTTCATATAAAGGTTTTTTTTAGAACAATGTTCATATAAAGGTTATATGTCAGTGAGTGGGTCTTTTTTATTGTAAATATCAATTTTAATTCTACTATAAAAAGTCATATATTTATTTAAATAACAAAGTTATTTTAAGTATTTATCAAAGCAAAGTGCAAATACTTATTAAGATGAAATAATTTATTATCAATTATTTAAATACTAATTTATTTAAATATAATTTTATAAATATAAATTATTTAAAAAGTTAAGTTAATTCAAATAAAATTAAAAAAATTAATTAATTAATAATTTTACTAATAAAAATAATACAAACTAATTGAAATAATATAAATTAATTAGAAAATATAAAAAATAATTAAATAGATTATTTTTGTTGTTTTGAGTGGGAGGTATAAATTGGAATTCGTGTCTTCCCACTTCAGTCAACTAAAATGAAGAAATTTAATATATTTATCCATGTAGACTTAAGACACGTCTAATAAAGAAAACTTTTTACAAAAGTGTAACCAGTTGAACGTATGTTTATCGTATGTGACCAAAAATAAATCAGTTTCTTAAATATTCTTGTTCTAATCTAATAATTATTTTTAAATAATTATTTTTTTCATAAATTGCTTCCCAGACAAATCTAAGTGATAGCCCGAAGCCGCCACCTCACTATTAAACGGTCATCATCAATCTGAAATCCAGACGTGTTAATATAGCACACGTATTCAAATTGTTTCAGGATCAGTTCGCTCAGAAGTCGCATATAAATATAATGACAAGAAAAATTCTAGTTGCTCTTTCATCTTCTTCTTAAGCAGTTAAGCTGATCAAGCTTCACTTCACAGAAGGAAAAAATGTCTTGTTCCGGAGAACCTTTTCCTATATCGCTGGAATATTCCACCGGCATCGATCACTCTTACATGCAACAAGTTCCGATTAGTTATCCCGGTCCACGTCTCCCACTTTTAAACCTCTTAATGGTGAAAAGGAGAATGAATCCCCTACAGCCCTTCTTAGCTCTATCGCTCAGCACCAACACTTTGATCTCCAACGATCAAATGCAGCTCGTGTCCTCCGAAATCGCCTCCGCCATCCACCAAATTATCGTTAACGGCGCTGCCCTCCTCTCTTGCGCCAAAAATACCCATCCCCCAAACCCGAAGCCGACTCCAGAACCGAAATCCGATTCTGACAGTTACAAAGGAGGAGAGTCCGAGATAATTGAGTTAGACGCGGTGGAGTTACTGTCGGGACATTTACATTTCTGCGAAATTTTCCGGAAAGGGTTCAAACGTGACGCCAATTTACGGATGCATATGAGGGCTCACGGGGATCAGTATAAAACTCGGTTTTCGTGTCCGTACGGTGGGTGTAATAGGAACAAGATGCACGAAAAGTTTAGGCCGTTGAAATCGGTTATTTGTGTGAGGAACCATTTCAAGAGAAGCCATTGCCCGAAAACGTACGAATGCAAAAATTGTCATAAAAAGAGGTTTTCGGTTTTGTCTGATTTGAGAAGTCGTTTGAAGCATTGTGTGGGCGGCGGGGAAGAGAGTAAGAAGTGGAAGTGTAGTTGTGGCAACAGTTTTTGCAGGAAAGATAAGCTTTTTAGACACTTATCTTTGTTCGAAGGCCATATGCCAGCTGTGGCGGTGGAGGAAGGCGACCGGAAGTTGCAAGGATCGGCGGCAATGGAGGAAAAGAAAGATGAAGGGTGTTTGGGAGATGGGTTGTTTGACGGGTTGCTTGATGGATTTGGGTCTTTAGAGAATTACTGTTTGCAAGATCTGTTGGGACCATCTTAAAATTGTTTGCAATAAGACTATTAGTATTGGTTGTTTTTCGAAATCTCTCTTTTTATGACAATAACATGTTCTTTCTGAGAGTTATTTTACTTGCAGAGCCAACAATACGAGCTTTGATTCTTAAAGTCTGTGCTTTTGGCTGTAAAATACTGCTTCATGGATTCTGTGGTTATGAACCAATTATAATAAATGAAATTGCTGATTTCCAGCTTCTTAAATCAACTGACGATTAGATCGGTTTATTGGAATGGATCTTATTCCTTTGTTTCATATGAAATTATGTTCCATACTTGTATTTTTAGATTTGTTCAAGAGAAGTGCTATGTGTCATTCTGTCTCAAATATTAAGGTTTGTTCTAAATTTATAAGGGTTTTGAATAAAAAGATTAGATCCAAAAGATAGGATTCAAGCCAAAATTAGGTTAATTTAAAATATAGATTAAATTTAAACTCTAACATGAAGATTAGAGTAAGATCAGTGTTTTTTTCTTTTATTAATAACCAATTGGTCTAGCAGGACGATGCATTGAATCTGTTAAATAATGTCAAGAGTTTAAATTCTGGTGTTTACGAATAGAACAAATTGGATTAGAGAATCACCCCATATAAGTCTATAAAATTCGATCTAAAATAATTGATCAATATATCAAATATCGGTGAATAAAAAAAATTGGATCATATTTTTATATCATACAATTTATATCACATAATAATAAATTTATAATATAAAGTAGTTTAATATAAATATTAAAAATATTTAAGTTTTTCATTAAATAAAGTAAAAGGAAAAGTATATAAATTTATTAAATATTGAATTGAAAACGAAAATATTTTTAAAAATAATATACGCGAGTTAAAAGAAGCATGTATTAACTATTTATAATTTAAGCAAATTTAAGTAAAATTTTAGACTTATATTTGGAGCTTAGATAAATATGATATGAGTCAATCTCATGCATAAACATGTTCTAAACTTAGCTCGACCATGAATACTTCTAGTTGTATTGTATAGATAGGGAAAATCATATATTTGTATTTGCATCAACAATATTTTTCATTGTCGTGTTTAAATGCATCAACATATTTAAAATTTTACTTAAAAAATTTGAATTTGATTTAGTGATTTTTAGTGTAAGTTTAAGCAAGTCGAACTCAAGAGTCTCACTATATATCGAAATTATTTTTGAGCTTGAAGATAAATTTTTAAAAAAAAAATATGTGTCAAAATCATTTTATAATGGTTAAGAAAAATCATAACTCATTAAATTTTTGTTAAAAAGATGGAATCGTTGTTGATTGTTTTGATCGACTATTACAACTATAATCTACATTTTTAACCAAGATAAAAAATGGACTCGAGAGACGGTTAAATGTAGAGAAAGATAAAGTACCTCACTACGTCTAAAATGTTACCTTTAAAATTTTATGTTATCTCCAAATTGATGTCACCAATGATGTTAGTGTTGAAAATTAAACCAACTTTCGGTGGAAAGTTGGATTTAATTAATCCACTGAATGGCAAATGTCAAAAATGGTGGCTTTGTGTTGAAAATTAACAATGGTAGAAATGCAATTTTAGTCATTGTAATTTAGGGTATTTACAAATTAGTCCTTAAGCTTTAACTATAAATACCCTAGCTCATTTAGCTTCAAAACCATCCCAAAGCATTCTAGCTTTCTTCCAATACTAGAGAGAATTTAGAGAGTTTCTCGAGAGTTATTTTCTCCTTTTTATCAAGAGAGAATTATCATTGTTTTCTCCTTGGTAGATCGAGAGAAGTTGTAATTCCTATTTTCTATAGTAAAATTCTTCTACCGTTGCCCGTGGTTTTTACCCTATATTATTTAGGGTTTTCCACGAAAATGTTGTGTCTCTTTATCTTCATTTTTATTTTCTCAAATTATCATTGCGATTTTGCTCTATCCGACAGCCGTCTTCCGCAACAATTGGTATCAGAGCCAGATTAGAGTGTGTAATATCTGCTTATTGTCTTTGTGGTTGCCACCAAAAGGTGGATCCTCCAACATAAGAAAGTAAGAAGTTATACCATTCTTTGAAGGTTGCAGAGAACTATTCACGATAGTGAAATAGTGGGAACTATCCGTAAACGAAGCAATGGCAACGAAATTTGATATTGAAAAGTTCAATGGAAGAAATTTCTCATTGTGGAAATTGAAGATGAAGGCCATCCTGAGGAAAGACGGTTGTCTAGCAGCTATCAGCGAAAAGCCAGTAGATTTCACAGACGACAACAAATAGATCAAAATGGACAGAAATGCTATGGCAAACTTTCATCTAGCATTAGCAGATGAAGTATTGTCAAGTATCGAGGAGAAGAAGACAGTTAAAGAGATACGGGATTATCTCACCAAACTGTACGAGGCCACATCGCTGCACAATAAAATTTTCCTTAAGAGAAAATTGTACACTCTCCGTATGCCAGAATATACTTCAGTGACGGAGCACTTAAATACACTGAACACTTTATTTTCTCAGCTTAAATCCTTAAGCTGTAAAATAGGAGAACAAGAACGTGCTGAACTTCTACTTCAAAGTCTACCGGATTCGTATGATCAACTCTTCATCAACTTGACAAACAGTAATGTCACCAGTCTAGTCTTCGATGACGTTGCAGCTGCTGTTCTACAAGAAAAAAATCGGCGCAAGAACAAAGAAGATAGACAAGTAAATCTGTAACAAGAAGAAGCATTGACAACGATGACAACGATGAGAGGGAGATCAAAAGAACGTGGCCAAAGCAGCAGTCACAAACATGGTAGATCGAAGTCGATAAGCAAGAAGAATTTAAAGTGTTACAACTGTGGAAAAAAGGGTCACTTGAAGAAGGATTGTTGGAGTCTAAATAAAAACTCCAATCCACAAGGCAATACCGCAAACACTTCAGATGATGGAGATGCTCTATGCTGTGAAGCGTCAACCACCGTGGAAGGAAGAAAACGATTTGTAGATATATGGCTCATTGATTCGGGAGCAACATATCACATGACCTCAAGAAGAGAATGGTTCCATCATTATGAACCTGTCTCAGGAGGATCTGTGTATAGTTGCAATGATCATGCCTTAGAGATCGTTGGCGTGGGAACCATCAAATTAAAGATGTATGATGGAACAATTAAAGTTGTTCGAGATGTGCGGCACGTGAAAGGAATCATGAAGGTGTTCCGTGGAGCACTTGTAGTGCTGAAAGGTGAAAAGATAGCTGCAAACTTGTATATGCTGAAGGGAGAGACATTGCTAGAAGCAGAAGCCTCTGTTGCCTCATGTAGTTCAGATTCTGCAATGCTATGGCATAAGAAACTTGGACACATGTCAGAACAAGGAATGAAAGTCCTTGTGGAGCAAAAGCTACTTCCAGGCTTAACAAAGATATCACTTACTTTGTGTGAGCAATGTATAACAAGTAAGCAGCACCGGTTGAAATTCAACACATCAAATTCTAGAGGCAAAAGTGTTCTAGAATTGGTCCACTCTGACGTATGGCAAGCACCAGTAACATCCCTAGGTGTAGCAAAATACTTTGTCTCATTTATTGATGACTACTCCAAGAGATGTTGGGTGCACCCTATTAAAAAGAAGTCAGACGTGTTTTCAACTTTCAAAAACTTCAAAGCGTGGGTGGAACTTGATTCTGGAAATAAGATCAAGTGTTTTAGAACAGATAATGGAGGAGAATACACAAGCGAAGAATTTGATGACTTTTGCAAGAAAGAAGGCATCAAAAGACAGTTCACAGTGGCGAACACTCCTCAACAAAATGGAGTGGCAGAGCGGATGAACAGAACCTTGTTAGAAAGAACAAGAGCAATGTTGAGGAACGCAATCCTAGAAAAATTATTCTGGGCAGAAGCAGTCAATACCGCCTGTTATTTGGTGAATCGAACTCCATCAACTGCAATAGAGCTGAAGACACCAATGGAGATGTGGACTGGTAAACTAGTTGATTATTCAAACCTCTATGTATTTGGAAGTATTGTGTACATGATGTGCAACGCCCAAGAAATTTCAAAGCTGGATCCAAAATCCAGGAAATGCAAATTCTTGGGGTATGCTGATGGAGTAAAGGGGTATCGCTTGTGGGATCCCACTACCCGCAAAGTGTTCATTAGCAAGGATGTTATCTTTGTAGAAGATAAGCTACAAAGAAAAGAAGACGATGACAGCGCTGAAAAGTCAGAGACTACACAGATACATGTGGAAAAGGAGTTTGAACAAGGAGATTCTTCTGAAGCAGAACCAACACATGATGAACAAGAACCAGAGAGTTCTGAAGCTCCAACAACTCGTCAATCAGATCGTGTGATAAGACGTCCCAATTGGCACTCAGATTATGTTATAGAAGGAAATGTTGCATACTGTCTTTTAACAGAGGACGGTGAGCCATCAACATATCAGGAGGCAATAAACAACTCAGATGCTTCACTGTGGATGATGGCGATGCAAGAAGAAATCGAAGCCCTTCATAAAAATAATACATGGGACCTTGTGCCATTACCACAAGGAAGGAAGCCAATTGGTAACAAATGGGTTTTCAAAATCAAGCAAAATGGTGACGATCAAGTGGAGAGGTATCGTGCAAGACTGGTGGTCAAAGGATATGATCAGAAAGAATGTATTGATTTCAATGAAATTTTTTCTCCTGTGGTTTGACTAACAATAGTTCGAGTAGTCTTGGCAATGTGTGCTACATTGAATTTACATCTGGAACAGCTAGATGTTAAAACAACTTTTCTTCATGGAAATCTTGAAGAAGAGATTTATATGCTCCAGCCTGAAGGTTTTGAAGAATACGAAAAGAAGAACTTGGTTTACAGGTTGAACAAATCTCTGTACGGTCTAAAGCAGAAGCCGAGGTGTTGGTATAAGAGATTTGATTCCTTCATTATGTGCCTTGGATACAACATACTTAATGCAGACCCTTGTGCTTATTTCAAGAGGTCTGGTGATAACGATTTTGTTATATTGTTGTTGTATGTGGATGACATGTTGGTTGCAGCACCCAACAAA